GGGGGGGGGGGGGTTGAAAGATTTTAACTTGGGGATCGTAAGATCCTACATCCCTACTTGTAATACTTATATATAATACATAAGGGAATGTAGCTATGGATGAAAAAAAATGAATTAGTTTCCTGACAGTTTTTAAATTGGAAAATGAAACAAATGGAGGATAATTACATGCTCTCAACCCCTCTGAAAGCATTTTTTGTCTTTTCTTTAGCTTGGTTCATTTCTTCGTAAATAAACTCCATGGCTGGATTATAATTTATATCCACCAAACATCACTTTAACTAGGGGGAAAGCACCCTTCATACAATTAAGATCATTTTTCCACAACCCCTTATCTTATCTATAACCAAGTTCTCCACAAACTTCCCATCCTTAGACTTTGCTAATTGACTAGAAGTCCATTTTCAAATGTGAACGTTCTAGTTAATGGACCCTTTTTCTCATTCCAGCATCCTTAGGTCATGTAGGATGTAGCAAAATGAGTTAAGCCAGGTTTAATCAAGTCACCCGACTCAGCCCCTATAGTAAATTTTTATGCAATAAAGTAGTAAGACTTGTTTTACCATAGATGTAAGATGTAATCCTTCTACCACTTGCAATTATCTCTCAATAAAGTGCTATCTTTTTCTCAAAATCCTCAAGCATCAAGTCAATGCAATGAGTTGCACTAGGTGTCAAATATAGCTTAGTCCTCTTTAGCATCAACATCCCCCCAACTGCCTAGTAATTTGCTGCATTGTTTGTGCAATATAGACACTTCCCCAACCTCAACGACATCATCTAGCATCTTGAAAATTTTGTCAGCTGTCTTTCATGTTAGATGCATCGATAGACTTCAAGAAATTGTTCCAAGCCAGACTATTTACTAGAAAGTTCAATATAGTTCAACTCCTCCTATTAGTCCATCCATTTGCCATTATTGTGCATCCAGATTTCTTCCAATAAGTTCAGTGGTTCTCTAAAGAAAGATTGATCTTTTCAATATGATACTTCGAGTATTTCACCTTAATTTCATGGTAGGATGGTGAGTCAAATCCTGGACCATGTCAAGCAACCGACTCAAACATCATCTTGTATTCTTGATTGTTGGCCACATTAAAAGGGATAACATCATTGTAAAAAAGTAGAGAAATGTCCTGTCATGCTTCCTCCCTTACATCCTTCTTGAAAATCTTGTTGATTGTTATTTGAGAGCTTACCTTTCTCTTGAAAAGATTTTGATTACCACTACCAGTACCACCAATAAGACTTTTCTGATTGAGAAGCAAAGCTACTGCCTATTCCTTCCCTATCACTAGATTTTTTTTTGGATGTTTTGTTGCAATGATGTAACAATACCCAACATTTCCTTCTTATTAACACCAATATTTTTGGTTGTTCCTGCCAAATGATGCTTTCATGCTTCAAACAGTAAGCTCCTCTTGTTAACACCTTCTCACAATATTTGCACTTGACTTTCTTGCATCTCCATCAACAGTAACACATTGTTTCCATGCCACATTATTCTTCATTCCAACAACATTTTTATGTATTTTAGGTGGAGGTCCACTTGCTTCACTCTCTCCACCTTCCCCTCTTGTGCCTTCATTTGTAGACATTTTTCTCCAATTCAAAAAATTGAAATTAAACCAAAAATAGAAATAGAGGCACAACACATTTACAAGAGGCAGGGACTGCATGAATTTCGAAACCAATCAATAGAGGTCAGAGGTGTATATTTGATGAGAAGAGAAACTGAGATTTGGAAACTAGAAAAGAAAAGCAAATTGAATGAGGAATAGGAGAATATACCAGACCAACAAATTGAATGAGGGAGAGGAGATATCGAGATAGGGTAGGTTGGTCCAGTTGATGATGGTGACCAAAACAACAAAGACGTTCGCAAAAACAGATGTCCATGTTCGCATTCATGATGGCGAGGTTTGATGAGTGTCCAGCATTTGCTGAGGTTCGGGGTCACAAGGGTGAAGGTCAAGAAGGGTTCACGATTGATTAGAGGAGAAACCATGTGTGAATTGAACCACGGATAAATAAATTAAGGATTTTGACACTAGATCAGTTAGATCAAGCACTTCTTCATTTGCCCAAGCAGATCGAAATGGATTACAAATCCCTTGATTCCACACGTAAACCCGTGATCCTACCCTGATCCCACCCTAGTCTGATCACACTTGTAATAATAAGTAATAACTCTAAACACTCTTTTCGATACGTAACATCATATGGTCCAGTTCACTAATATTTGATAGTTGATGGCGAGGTTCAATGAGCGTCTAGCATTTGCCGAGGTGTGGGGTTGCAAGGGTGAGGGTCAAGAAGGGTTCGAGATTGATTAGGGGAGAAACCATGTGTGAATTGAAAAGGGGATAAATAAATTTAGGATGACATTGGGTTAGTCAGATCAGGCCCTTTTCCTTTTTTCCAAACAGATGAAAATGGATCACAAATCCCACGATTCCACGCTTAAACTCACGATCCTACCCTGATTCCACTTCAGTCTGATCACACTTGCAGTAAGAAGTAATAACTTGAACACTGTTTTCGATAGGTGACATCATATGGTCAGGTTCACTGATATTTGATAGTTGATCAAAATTAAGGAAAAAACTTGGGTATAGTTCTTTCGGTGCAGTTAATGTTGTTCTCCAATCAAAGTTGGAGTTTTAGCTCAGTATTATGTAAGTGTATTTAATGCAAGTCTCATTAATTTACATTTATGCTATTATTGAGGCAAAACTTTAACTTTGATTAGAGAACAAGACCAATTGCACCTAAGAAACTGTACCTAAGTTTTGTCCAAAAATTAAATCCTATACTCAATAAAGAGGCATCATCTTGACCTCATGGGTTATATTTCAGATGGTATGCACAATGCAGTGCTAATCATTCCTTAGATGTCAGTACCAACCGAAGGAGGGTCAACTAAAAGAAAAATGCCAAGTACTACTTGATTTTGTCTAATAGTATAGTTTGTGTAGCTCATTTTCAAAATTTGTTGAGTGGAAGAATCTGTGCAATTTTCTTGATGCAATTATCAATTTCATTGACTGTTATAATGCACTGCATCTTAGCCTATGATCTATCTGCAACTTAAGAAGTCAAGCTGAATGACATCCAAATGAAAGTAAAGTGTGTTTAGCCATCTACATTTGCAAAATGGATGCCCCTCTGTGAGTCAATTCAGAATTGAAACTTATGGTGTTTTAGTGAATAGGATAGTGATTAGAACCTGGGTCAATGTCTTGTGACCTAGATCTTTTTAAATATTTTTCCTCAAATCTTCATGATCTTCCTTTGTGGTGTTTCAGGTGGGTTTGCAGTATCTAACTGGAGATATATCTGGTGCCAATGCTCGTTGTATTGCAATGCTTCAAGCATTTCAAGAGGCCATCAAAGACTACAAGGTTCCAGTTGAGAAGACTCTGGTGAGAGACTTAACAGCAAAAGTTAGTAGTTATGTATCATTTCTTATTGAGTGCCGACCTCTATCAATCAGCATGGGAAATGCAATTAGGTTTCTCAAAAGTCGGATAGCCAAGCTACCTTTGACCTTGTCTGAATCAGAAGCAAAAGCTTCACTCCAGTCAGATATTGAGCGTTTTATTAGTGAAAAGATTATACTTGCCGACAAGGTGATAGTGAAGCATGCTGTCACCAAAATAAGAGACGGTGATGTCCTTCTAACTTATGGGTCCTCATCAGCTGTTGAAATGATACTATTACATGCACATGAGTTGGGAAGACAGTTTCGTGTTGTGGTAGTTGACTCTCGTCCAAAGCTTAGAGGGCGACTTTTACTTCGCAGGCTTGTGGAGAAAGGTCTTAGCTGTACATATACTCATATAAATGCTGTTTCCTACATAATGCATGAAGTTACTCGAGTTTTTCTGGGTGCTTCATCAGTTTTATCTAATGGAACGGTATATTCAAGGGTAGGGACTGCATGTGTTGCAATGGTTGCTCATGCATTCCGTGTGCCTGTCATAGTATGTTGTGAGGCCTATAAATTTCATGAACGGGTACAGTTGGACTCAATTTGCTCAAATGAACTTGGTATGTAAATTTAAAAGTGGTACAAGATGAGGATTCTATTTACAGTTTATTACCAGTTTTCATTGTGTCTGTAAAAAGATTGATGTTTCTATGATGCTCTTACAGGTGATCCAGATGTCATTTCAAATGTACTGGGTAGAGAGGATGTCAACTACTTGGATGGATGGGCCAATATTGAAAATATGCAACTTTTAAATTTGATGTGAGCTTTAAAATTGATAGTTATACTGTATACCACACCAAATTGTCATTTCCTCACTCTAACATTGCTCTTCTCTTTAAATTGATGGCAGTTATGATGCAACACCTTCAGATTATGTTTCAATGATTGTCACAGATTATGGCATGGTAAGTGCTGGAATTTTAAAGAGGATTTTGTCTTGGTTGCTAAAACATGCCTAAAATGTCCCTTCAGATTTTTATTTTAGTTTGCATTGTGTCAACTAGTCTTTGGGTAGATGTATTGAGTACACAAATTCTGTCTCACTATTTTTAGGAGAATGATTTTTGAGTGAGGATAAAATACCAGTCACACTACAAAAAACCTAAAAGAATAGTACGAAAGACAACACAAATAGAAAAGTACTGTTAGAGATGTAATATGGCATGGAAACCATTTATGTGTTACCTAAAAGATTAAGCTTGTGGTATTGTTGGATCATTATATGGTGTCAAAGGCTCAATTTAAGCTGTTTGCATTTGCTCACGTTAAATGCCAATGACTCGTGAGAGTAGGATCGGCATTCAACGTGCTTTGGAAAGTGGCGTTGACATAAAAAAACACACTTTTAGTGATCTAGAGTATGATGTCTACTCCATTCTTCTATTCTAATAGTTGATTATGGGGGTATGTGCATTATCCAAGCATCAAGCCCAAAGGGCTCTTGTGAGGGAATATATTAAATATATAGAATAATATAAAAATATTCACGTGTCTTGCTTAATTAGATAAGCTTTGGGAATTGTTGGTTCGTCAAATACGAAGTACTTCTTGGTTTTATAATTTCCCTTTTTCCTCAAGTATATAAGAAAAAAAAATGTTGAAAAGAAGCAAGAGGTACATTATAATAGAGGTAAAGAACCATCCTTCTCTAAACTAGTTCAATGCTGGTAACAACTAACAACAGAACCCCTTGCCCCAGTGATATAATACATGCTTTTGTTTTTATACATTATCAATGATCAAAGGGCATTGTGTTATCCTTTCTTCACATATTCATATTTAGATCATGAATGTCTTATAAAGAAAAGATGTTTTGCTTGACATTTTTAATTTCAGGTTCCCCCCACAAGTGTGCCTGTAATTGCAAGAGAATATGGGAGAGAACAGGTCTGGATATAAATTATGCAAATGTGTACCATCTCAATTTTGTGGGCGTCCATGTTTCTGTATTATTTTCCCACCTTGGAATAATGTAATGAGCCTTTTTGTTCTGAAATTTTGGATATTTCTGTATTCACCTGTCCTAGGGAAGAGTGCCAATATTCGCCTCTCCAGGAGTATTTAGCCATGTATTCTCTCATCTGTAACAGTTCATTTTAGCCTGTTCTTCAAATTTTGGACAATTATTCGATCACAATTTTGGTTTAGAAAGTTCTAGTTGTGCTTAGGCCCATCTGTGGTTACTGACTTGCACTGTAATTATGAAAACCACTACGGATTGAAATTATCACTGAAAATCTGTTGCGTGTGATTGCTCTAATTGTTGGCAACAAGGAAAATGGGTTGCTTGATAACATTGGCCATGGAATGGAATACTTGGTTGCTTTTTTGCCATTTCATTCTTCCATTTTGCTTGCGGAGCATGCAAGCTTGCAGGGTATAATTTTAACTCACACTTTGTTTCATAATTCTAGATGAAGCTAACAGATGCAGTGGCCATAAATTGAATCACCTCTGCAGATTTAAGCTTGTGACTCTGAAAGTGACTAATTTTTTTAGTTTAGTGATCAACATTTAGACTTGCGCTCATAGGTGTTAATATTAGACTATTTTTCAGGGAAAGATCTACGTAATTTTGAATTATTCATTATAATGTATTTAAAATATACGTTCAAATAAATCTATACCATTAATATATATATATATATATATATATATATATAATCGTTACCGCGGATTTAAACTGTAACTTTTTTATTGAAATAAATGTGAGAATTGGTTTCTTTATGTTAAATATAAGTCAGTTTAAAGGGTGTCCAGCACTAGATGACACAACATGTAGTTCTATTTTAAATTGCAAATCTCGCAGATTCTTTTCTCGCACTTTCTGTCTCCAATCCAAACAGCCATTATTTTATGGCGTCAGAACAATCGTCATTGTAATGATCTGACAGGCTGTTAACACAAGTTATATTATTAAATGAATTGTTAATTTATTATACTTGTAAGGCTCTAATAGTTAACAGGTTGCAATTTTTTTTATATAATCCTCGGGTATCCTCAATATAAGAGGATCCTAATATATTGTTTGGTTTAGTCGAAAAGGAGAACAAAGAAGGAAGAGAAAAGATAAAAATAAAACGTGGATCTCACCTTTTCGTTCTTCTCGTTTTATGCAAAAACAATTCTCATTTAATAGAGAGAGAGAGAGCAACTTAAAATGATTTAAAGACAAAATTATCCGAATTTGTTATACGTCTTTTTCTTTTATTTGGAATATGTCATTTTATATACATATTTTCTTTCTTTTTCTTTTTATACAGTCAAACAATTTATAAAACTCTTACTTTCTACTCATCTTTTATTTATTTATTTTCTTTCTTTTGGGTTTCCCCCCCAAACAAAATATCATAAATCGTCATTGGAAAGGCAGAATTTGGGAAGTGATTTTCCGCCACAACCTGGCCTTTTATTTGGATGGAAAGAAAAAAATGAATGAAAAAAATAAATTAGACAAAGAAAACAGACGAGAAAATTGTTAATTTATTAATTGAAAGTCAATTTTCCCTCTTTTCTTTTAGAAAAAATCCAACAAAAAAATGTATCATTATTTATATTCCCCCCCCCCCTATCTATCTTCTTAACTAGACATTACATAAGAGAAGCTAACTAGGTCATGAACAATGATACCAATCTTCATGAATGGATTTATCCTCCCTGGGACGTTTACTTCCTCTTGTTAGTTAATAGCTAAAAAATGTTTCTTTTAGTTGCAGCCTTCTCTTTTGGAAGTCTGGCCTTCCAATATACCAAGTTAGCAATAAAAAATCGATATTAAAAAAACCCAACATCTTGAAACATCGTAGACTCATCTCATCGCTCAATTTGGACAATCAATATGCACGAAACATGAATATTCATTAATAGAATGAAAATACACAGTAAATAATAGAAAAGAAAATTAAACCTGTATACACGTTTAATAACTTTGTTCATACATCCATGTAAGTTGTAACCTTGTATGTATTAAAGTTGATACAAATGTTCATGTTCCTCAATTTTGAAGTAAATAGATCACTATATGGTTACTCATTCATTTCCTCTTATGATATCAGCTTTACCATAAACTGGAGTAACAATTCCAAGAATCACAAAGCCACCCAAAATGACAATCAAAATGCCTAAGGAATTGACCAGAAGTGCCTCATTGGAATAGCGTGATATGATCTTGTTGACCTGAAGGAATGTAACTTTTTCCAAAATACCAGTAGTAGCTGTGGCTATAGTCAAGGCATAGATATAGATCCCAAAGAACACGTGCCATGGCAATAAGGCTGCTCTACTATTTCTTGACCCTCCAGGGTACCAAAATGTTGCAAACCCAGCACCCCACTAATTAACATTGTAACAAACAATTAATTAGATACATGGAAATGATGGAATCCAAAGTCACAAGTAGAAATAGAACAAGTTGTAATATCAAGTGTAAACTACAAAGATATTAGATACCTGGATGGTGAATAGGAAAATGCATGCAAGGCCTAACCATGAATGCAGGCTGTAGAAGTTGTCAATGCCCTTGTCAATGTGAAACTTCCAAGCAGCCCAGATACCAATTAAGCTCAAAATGAGTGCGATAAACTGTAATGCGAGATGAACTGATTTTTTGAGGCTTTTAGTTCCAGATAAGGTCTTGTATGCAAGCATCGCTGCACATTGTCATAATAAAAATGTTAAAAGAAATTAGTTCTAGCACGAAAGTACTCAAACAATCAAGGGATAGTAAGAAATAAGATTGCATGGAATTTATGACAAGAAGTTCATTTGCTGAGAAATTATATTTTCATAAAAAGTTGTTATGAGCATCATGAAGGTACCAGCCACCAGTTCACCTTTGCTGTCTCTTACAATCTTACCAGAATAAGGACCAACTGTTTTAAGAGTTTGTTTGAATATAATCTTAAAAGAGCTTGAGAGCTTCTTTAGTGAAAATATAGAGCTTTTTCCAGTAGAGAAGCTCTCATAAGCTCTTCTAAACTTGTATCTAAACACACTCAAATTCTAATTTGACTTCTGCTGTTTCCTTTTGGGTTAGAGGTGGCTCTACTAGTCCTAGGGATTCACATACCAAAAGTAATTAAGATAAAAGATGGGAAAAATGTTTTTGTCTATTTTTCTCAGGTGTCACAATGAAGAGGAATGTTATATAGATATAAAGTAGGGCCCTCACGCTGCCATGTAAAATACACCACTCAGCACTACAATAATATGACACAATGGGGATAAGTTATCCAACATGCTGCGTAGTTGAAAGGACAATAATGAATATCAATTCATATTGTTCTGCTATTCAGATTAAGACAGGATTCATAAATGAGATAAACAAATATTAGATCTTATTTGAGCATAATGAATTGTTTTGTTCTCTTTAGAGGACCTAGAACAGTTTCATACAAACTGGAAACTTAAAAGTTAAATGATATCAGGCTCAGATACTCCAAAAACGACAAAGTATTGTGCCATGCCCTTATCAGATACCAATTTGTACAATACTCCTAGATACGTATCAAAGAGTATCCTCAGATTTTTTTAAAGAAATTTTATTGATTTATATGTTTGGTATACAACTTAAAGACTCTGAAAAAGACTACAATTACATACGGCTCTATCTTTTCCTTTGTATCCTTAAAGCTATAGTAAATAGTAGGCAATTATATAGAACCAAAACCCCTTGATGCTTTTTGTGACATTCTAACTTGAACCAGGGAAAAATACGAACATTGCAACATGTCTATAGGAGAAAGAACATATTTTGATATGGGCAGTGGAAAAAGATAATTATGATAACGAGTATTATTACTGTAAATTATGATCATCATCTTCTAATATTATTATGCATAATGAGAAATTATCAACATCTATAAATATTGGTCATCCATGGAAAGTACTTTTTAAATTTATGTTAACATATCTAGGCCATATTATATGTTGAAATTTTTTAGAATTTGCCTTGTCAATGTCATATTGTACCCATGTTCTACCATAAACCATAGAAAATTGTCTCGCCTCCTAGAACACCCTAAACCATAGAAAACATTGTGAATCAACAATCATGAACACTACAAATCAAAGGCCAAAAGAGTTTTTTTCTCATCATGGGTTACATTACAATACATAAAGACAGAGACACCCTGATTTCACCTTACATCAAAGATCTAACAAAAATTCTTCAGTGCAACTGAACCATGACCACAGCAATTTTCAGAGCGATGCTGATATGCACATAAGGAATTACATATCCACTTCCTCTAGAAATATTACATATATAAATAGAAAAGAACATTTACCTTCACCATTGATTAGAACAAGCCCAATCACCATCAACACCGGATGAACCTACATTGCAAAAACAAAAAAAAATAAAATTAAAACAACACAAGCGGTCCAAATGCACTTGCTCACATAATGCTGAAATTGCAAAAAAAAAAAAAAAAAAAAAAAAAAAAAAAAAAAAAAAAAAAAAACAAACAAACATGAAATTTTTTTATACAAAAACTAAAATTGCCAAAAGAAATAGTCAACAATAATGAATTCACAATCCATGAAACACTCAAAATCCTTCTACCCTTCTTGCCAAAAACCAAAAACATGAAATTCCCCAAAAGAGAAAAAAAAAATAGATCGAGAAAAGAAGGCATACCCATGACCCCAAAATGAAAAGTAATGTTAGTGAAGAGAGAGAATTACATTAAAAATGAGATCTTTGTTATCAGAAACGAGAGCAAGGCCTCCCCTGAAATGGAGGGCCCACGTCAGGACAAGAACTGCGATGATCACGCCCACCGCTCTCACCGCCGTGAAGATCGGAAACCTCACCACCGGCGGAGTTGCCATTCTTACCTTTCTAGAGAGAGAAAATGGAAGAGAGAGAGAGAGACAGAGAGAGAGTAATGAGAGGGAAATGAGAGAAAACGCAAAAGCATATAAACTAAGAAAATGGGTCAGCTTTGCACAGTTAGTCCAGTTTCTTCCCACACCAGAAAGAAACTATTTTTTCACTTCCCACGTTAAAATTAATCTTCATCTCCTGTGTGTGAATTATGATGAGATCTAGACAACATCATGCTAGGTATGATTTTATAAAACAAAAAAAAATGTATGATTTTATAATTAAGATTGATTTTTTTTTTCTTTTGAGAGAAATTAAGATTGAGTTTTATTGTCGTTTTTTTCTTAAATATAATTTTTAGGCTATAGTAAAATTTTCTCCCTTATTTTATTTTTTATTTAATTTAATTTACTACATCTTAAATTTTTTTACCTCATTTCCTAAAAAAAATTAAAAATTGAAAAATTCATCAAATTAATTAAGTCAACAAATTAAAAGTCAAACTGATTAATTATTAATTCAATCATAAGACTCAATCTTTATTAATTTTTTTTTTAAAAAAATTCATGTCATATATATTAACATGGTTATAAATTTCAATAAATTTTAATCATGTCTTAAAGAAGTTACTAGAAAATATAAAATGTTAAATAATCAAATTTTCTTGAGTTTAATTTCTATATTATTTAAAATTATCTTTATTTTTATTTTATATGAAAAAATATATGAAAAAGTTGCATATTAAATTTTATAAATTAATAGAAATTAAAAATATAAATAATATATATATAATATTTGTAATTCATATTATAAAATAATACATGTAATATATGCATTTGTATAATATTTCTAAATATAATTTAAAATTAATAATATATTATAAAAATTACTTGAGATGCTTATACTTCAAATAAATGTGTTGAAATAATTGTTGGTGCAATGATTAATAAGGCTCTTAACATTCATAGGAGCATGGATTTCCCATGTGGTGCCCATTCTTTTATCAATAAAGCTTACTATGCCTGAAAAATTTCAATCTGACCTACAGGTGGTTTGAATTTTCATTTAAAAATTTCGTTAGTCAGAGAATGCCTGGAGACTAAACTAAACCTTAACTAACGATTTTTTAAAAAGTTCGAAGAAATCAATATTTTATTTAAAATATCAGAAAACTAAATTTTTTTTTTAAAAATCAATAATAACCTTGACATTCAGAATTGGATTCGTCTGTACTGCAAAGAGTTAAAATTTAATAAATTAATTAATTGAAACAAAAGTTTTAATAATATAATATAATGAATACGATATCATATATTTAAACGTTATATCATATGAACTGTATTTAGAAAAAACGTTTATGAAATATTACAAGTTAATATTAAAATGTTTATTTATCAACATAATTAATGTCGTAAAACATAAATGACTATAGTGCGTGAGAGCGCATTTAGGTGATTTTGTTTGATTATTTATAAATTAAATTTAAATATTTTTAAAATAAATTATCAATAATAAAAATAATCTTATACTAAAATATAAATTATTTAAAATAAATATAAAATATAATTTATATATTTAAAATATCTATTTATTCATAGTTTAAATATAAATTATATATTCAAATATAATATTTATTTATAAACATAATTTATTTTAAATTTTAATTATATATAATAAATATTTAAATAATGCATTATAATACTAAAATATTAATTTAATTAATTTTTGATCAAATTAATTTTTAATTAAACTAGTCAAATAAATATTGATAAAAAAGAAATTAAAAGATATATAACTGCGTGGTCAAACACGATTAATGGTTTGAGTGCATATTCTTACGTAAGACAAAGTTTGGAACCAATGTGACTTGTATAAATCAAACCTTATTTTGGTTGAATGGTATAAAAATTTAAAACACCCGTCTTCTTTAAGCAATATGATTCTTTAGTTCTTTTTCCTTCGACAACTCTCAACAATCGTTATTTCTTTTCTTCTTTTTTTTTTTGGGTAGATTTTTCCTTAAACAAATATATATTAATAGTTTTTCTTTAAATCATATTATTAGTGTAAAGTATTCACTAATTTTATTGATTATTAATTTTCATTAGGAAATTTAACTAGCTACCTATCTTTAGTTGAGTCTCATTGTCTTATTAATTTTTTTTTATATATATAAAACTTGTGGCCAAGACCTTCTTAAAGAGATTGAATTCATTATCACTTAATGATGTAGTTTTGAATTAACCCCCTTAATACAATTCTTATTTAATAAGCATCAAATATTAACATAAACATTACATGTATAGGATTTGTTAAGGTAAACTTTTCTAAAAGTACTTTTATGAAGAATAAAAAAAAAGAAAAATCAAAATAAGTTTCTTTAGATTAAAACTAACTTATGCATAAGTAAAAAAAATATTTTGAAAAAGTTGATAGGAGCGAACTTCTACATGTACAAATTAACATATGCATAAACTAATTTTACCCTGACATTTTTTTATTTTTTTTATTTTTCTCTTTTACAAGTGCTTTTTAGAAACTTTTACACTAATAATATGATACATAATATTAATATAAAAAATTGACATATAACTAGTGAAAAATAGTATACTGACAGGATATTACATTAATTGATGTAATATATGACGTGGTGACATTTTTAAAAATATTGTCAACTATACTACATTGATTGTTATTTAACGAGGTAGAAAGTGATATACTACAATGGTTAATCAATTTAGTATATCAAATCAAAATATATAGTGATACCTTTTCTTCCTCTTGCCCCCATTTCCCCCTTAATCCAACCATCACATCTAATTGTGTTCTTATTTTTATATTTTTGTTAGGAAGGAAGAGTTGTTGGGGGTAGGCCAAGGGATACAAGGTTGTAGAGGAAGGGAAAGAAATAACAGAGTTGAAGGATTTGAGAGGAAGGTTATAAATCTGGATGAGGATGTATATATATGAGGAGGTTTGGGGTTGAAGAGCGAGAGAGAAAGTGATGCGGGTGAAAAAGGTAGGTGAAGTGATTGACAAGGGCGAGGAGAGGAGGTGGGTGGTTCAGTATGTGACCACCATGATTTTATTTCATTTTATTTTATATTTTTATTATATATTTCTACATCAGTTAAGATTAACAGATATATAATGTTTTTTTTTACATCAGCAACATCTATATCGATCTTATAATGAATATAGATTGTCCATTTAAACTGATGTAGTGTATATTATTGTTTAGAACATTAAGTGTTATGGATGAGTAATCAGTTAGGTAATGTGTGACGATCTGACATGTCATTGCACTTAGTATAGTACAATACTACGCAATGGAAAAAATATAAATCATTCAACTGCTTTAGGGCTTTCATGTAACAATGTCTGGTCATACATGCAATAGATATATGTATAGGATGTAAAAAACATAAAACGGTTCTTGTCAATTTTAGTTGAAAACATAAAGTCCATTATGGGTTTACATATATAAACCTTATACATATATACAATATACATCAAATAAACAAAGTACTAAATGCAAAATAATCCTAACATCAATCAAGCGTCCCTAAAAAAAATGTATCATAATAAAACAATAAAATATAGAAGCCTTCTCCAACATGGCTATCCACCAAGTGTGCCTCTAACCTAATCCTGTTTTACTCTCAAAACAAATATGATCATCATAGTCCAACAACATAAAAAAATAAGAATAAACTTGTGAAAGAAAATATCATAATAATAGAATAGAAAGTAACACCTTTATCAATATACTCAACTTTAAAGCATAACCACGACTTCAACATATCAGTCACTATTGAACAACTAAAAATCAATAATGCAACAAATAAACAATTGATAGACAACGTAAAAAACTTATACAACTTTAATAACAAGTTAGCTCTTCCAAATTCAAAGCATAACAACAACCTTGAAAATATTCTCAACTTAACATAAATCAACTGATTAACTTAGAACAATTAAGCCATATAAACAACTTAAACAAGAAGTTAGTTTCCAACTTAAAACATAACCACAACTTACAACATGCTCAAAATAATTAACTTCAATCACAACGTAAACAACTTTAATAACTAATGTATCGTCATACATATCAACTTAGAATGATCTCCTATAACTGAGGTGAGTAGTGTAAGTGACTTGACCCTACCAAATCACTATGTCTAACCTATCTTGTCTAGGTCAAGTAGATATAACTTCAGGAAACTCAAGCACTTGTTTAACAACTTACATTGATTCCTCAGGTTTAATCACTTAAATTAAGAATATATAGTACTATTTTCAAGGTAGAAAAACTTGGGTGTGAGCATACCATACAATTTCAACATGCATAATTAAGACTCATGAAATTAGTCCTCCGAATACCCTTGTACACATGGAATATCTAACAATTCGTCATGCCATGTCTATACTATATAGCTTTTGAGAAACCCATCACACAAAACATGCTCTCATATAATGTCTATTAATTGCCTTTGCAAATTGAAACAATTCACACAAGGACAATATAACCTTTCATTACTATCTATAACATTCCTTTGTGCAAACTGAAGAAACTCTTTTACTTCATTCTCATATTCAAAAATTGTGCGTAAAAAATTCACCCAGCTTTGATCCATTAGTGTGTTTGTTTGACATAAATTGTGTCAATCACACTTTTTAATACAAGGTGTAACCCTACCCATTCAGAAAGTTAATTCTTTATACTTGATTAATATATAAAGGTAAAGTCTCATATATTAAATTTGACAAAATTTTAGTAGCATTTTACATTGGTCTCTATAAGTACACAAAATGAAAGTGGTGACATCAAATTCACCACAATCAAGTATGCACCTAGAGAACAATAAGAAATGTAGTCAACCAAAATCTTATAAAATTTACAATGAGACTTAACCTCTACCTCTCTCTATATATATATATATGTGTGTGTGTATATATATATATATATATATATAT